CAATTACTTTTAAATGCATCAATATACATAATTGCGGTATCTGCGTCTCGTCAATTGAAAAAGATTTGTCTGATAACTTTATCATGCAAAATTTAAGTCAACATTGCAACTAAAACTAATATACCTTAGATACTGTTTAATATTAAAGGGTAAAAGTCGATTATTTACAGATCGCCGTCCTATGGATGGAGTTTTGCTGAATCTAATTATTTATAACGAATGTACGCTTATTGGTGCGTTAACAGCACCGAAGTCAGAAAATACTCCGTATTCAGATTTAAAAGAGTGCCTGAAAATTAAAATAAATAAATAAATAAATAAATAAATAAATAAATAACACAAATATTATGCACGGAAATTCCTTGCAGTACATTCGTCATACGAGCGTACAGGGGAATCGTGAACTTCGTGCTTCGATATCCATGCTGCATTTAAATTAGCCCTTAAATTCGTAATACACGTGCATTTTATGCGCTTTGGTCGTTGTAGTGAGTACATTCGTAATGCACGTGATTAGTATTAATTCATGAGCTAAGAATCTGCATTATCGGAATGGATTAGTATTCCCATCACAGAAGGAGGTCAGAAAACTCTCAATTCATAACAAATAATCTACATTTTAAAAGCTGTAATACTCTTTAAGCCGTAATAATGTTGGCAGGTAACGGCAACGTAAATGTCCTGTAAATCCCATCATCTGTTTATGTCCCTTTTCATGCGGAACATGTTTCAGTGTAGATAATATAATTCTTTGAAAGACTTTCTCGTAACTAATCAGTGACAAGGTAAATGTGTTAAGCTATTATGTTGTATCTCTTTAACATGTTTTACAGGATCGTCATAAATATAACCATACAAGTACCAAAAAATATAATATGCTCACAACGTCATCAACTATTAAATGTGTGTGAGTGAGTGAGAGAGTTGGAAGTTGAAGCTGTTATATTGGTGAAAGCAATACATGTGTGAGGGAAGCTCAAAATAATGCGGCTTGTTAATAGCTAGGTTACTTATTTTGCTGAAACCCACGAGCGTGTGGGGATTGTGGAGATCGACAAACCAAGGGTCATAATCGGGTCGAGGCATGGATCAAATGAGACATTAATCATCAAGTATTTCAAAAGAGACTTGTTAGATCTTCCCGAGTTATTTTCAGGTGACAATTAACTTGCCATTGCATGTGTTTGTGACGGGTGCCACCTGTTGGGCACTATAAGTTGGGCTCACCTTTTCGCGAGCTCTTGGTATCATCACTATTTGATAGTGACTCTGCTTTTGATTGCTTATGGAATCTTTCTTACATGGAAACTGCTTTGTCGCTTTCTATCTTTTCATCTACACATAAACAGGAAATACCTTGTAAAGTACCGCAACGTTCCCAAATTCACATTCTGTCGTGAGGTATATGAATACGGACGACATATCTGGTTTTGTAAGAACTGGACATTGAGGAACAATGCAAAAAGCCCAGACTTTTTGAAGATTATCGTTGAAATGCTGACAGATCCCTGTTGTTGCGACAGTCGAAGGGACACAACTATGTTTGATTCATGTTATTCTGTGTCCACAAATATGCCTTATCGTAGGTCAAGGTTTCCTTAAACCCCTTGGTTAGATTCTGTAATATCTCTGGAGATAAAATAGTTCAACATGTCGCCTTGTTGTCATGCATACAGTATTTGTTGCTTTGTCTTGTGTTTGTATTTTATTCATTTTGTTCATGCTATCTGTTAAAACGTGCCTAAAATCATCCATTTCCATAAGACATCTCTGTCAAAACAGAGTCAATTTTGCGATTCCGATTATGTTATGGGAATGTGTTTCTGAATCACTATAAGTTGGTGCTGAAAAACGGTGTCGCGATAAAGTGAGCGCATCCTTCCACACCGTTTGCACCCGCCACAAACACATGCACAAGCAAGTCAATTGTGTTCCTGAAAATAAGGCCATGAGAACATTTGGTACGAGTCAAAACAGGAACCGTATCGGACATCATTTTTTCCTTGATTCGGAATATGTGTACCATAAAAACCTTTGAAAGCTTTACTGTGGCCTTCATGTTGCAGCCCTGATCACACAAACAACTTTTATGTCGTATGACGCTATTTGAAATCTTCGTAGAACGAGCATGCTCAAAATTTTACCTCAAATGTTGTTATATGTAGAAACCAGGACTGGAGCTGTTGGAATATTGCTCGACACAAAGGAAAGATTGACAATTGGAAAATTGAAGTCATCCCGCCTGTCATACAGTCTTATGGATGCTTTATAGTCATTCTGAATCTTTATATATATAGGGGGCACGGGTGGCCCAGTTGTCTAAGGCGCCGCGATTCGCTGTGCAAAGTTGCGTCCCGTGGGCACGCCAGAAACCTATGATTGTGGGTTCGAATCCCGGTTCGCCCCGATTATGTTTCTAGGTTTGTCAGCACCATACCCGTGCTCGTGGGTTTCACCGAAGTGGTAAACGTCTGAGACCTGCATCACTTCGGGCTTTCCTCCCACATTAAGCTGACACGCCGCGATATAACTGGCATATTGTTAAAAGCGGCGTTAAACCTAACTCACACACTCACTCAGGTGTGTGTGTGTGTGTGTGTGTGTGTGTGTGTGTGTGTGTGTGTGTGTGTGTGTGTGTATATATATATATATGAAACAAATTATGCGGTTTCATTTGTCTATTTTATTTCTAGTTCAGTTGGGCAAAGGGAATTGGCTATTTAGGCATTATTGAACGATAGCAGATCATCACTATATTCTGTAGCTGAAGCCTGTTATATATATGTGATTGCACTGAGCTTTGGAATATACAGTAAAACATGCCCCGTGTATCCTTTTACGGGCGTATCGTTCATTTAGAGGTGAACTCGGCTGCTGACAGTAACACGCTTCAAATAGCCTTAAAGGGTTGTGTTTGGATATTGATAATATGATATCCATGCCAGCTTGTGTGTGTCTGTTATTGATTGTGGCGTGGGAGATGTCGGCATTTTGAAGAGGTTATTAAAGTTATGTAATGTGAGGTAAACACGAGTGAGTTTACTGCACCTTTTGCAATATTCAAATAATATCACTACGACGGGTACCAAGAAGTGCTTTCATAAATTTTATTCATATTTGCATTCGAATCTTTTCGGTATGACACATTCGAACCTTAATGATTATTGTGACAAACTCGGAAATCAAGTTGAATCAAATCAGTTACCTCGAACATTCTCAATAAATATCCATTAATTGCCTTTCGTTGAAATCAATGAGTCTTTTGACTATAACAATGTCAATAAGGTGGAATGGCTGGCCACCGGTCAACTGGGAAACCATGAAACCATAAGGGGGGTGGGGTGGTGTATGTCTTTTAATACGTTGTATGATCGTGTATGTGAGGATGTGAACGTGGATGGCACCACGTGTTTCATGCATGGATCGGTAAAGTAGACCGACAGTTACATACATCAGCAAGGAAATAACACAAGGCCTGTTGTGCAAACAAATCAGGACATCACCGAACGGAATGTATTACAAGCTTGGTGTTGTGCCCAAAGTCATTCTAGTCTCGTGAAGCCAACAAGCAATTTGTACTATTAAAAGAGATAATTGTGAATGACAGGATTATGCATTTTGAAACTGTTACACTATTTCAAGGTAGAGAATGTACTGTCTTTTTGGCTATATATAAAAAAAATTGAGAATTTTGTTAGCTCTGTCTCCATGACCTTGTTGATAATTCTATGGATGTTGCAAATGTATTAGATAAAGATATTACCATGGGGGAACTTGATGACATGAAATTAAGCAAAGCCCAAGGCTCTTCTGGAATATTTGTTGAGGATTTTGAGCATGCCCACCCATTTGTCCTGAGATGTTATTACAGTTGTTTAATGGGATCTTTTTACGTGCTATATATCCAGAACAGTGGTCATATGGTACAATGCTTTCTATTTTCAACATAGGGAGTTCCCAGGACCCCAGGAACTATACGCCGGTTACTCTTCTGGAAATGGCATATCAAATATTTGTCAAGGTTATTTGTAGACGTGGTCTTCTCTCGAAAGTTAGGTGGTAAAGGAACAGGCAGGATTCAGGAAAGAAGTCCAGACTTCTGATGATATTTTTTATTGTTGAAACTTTTCTGACCGTTTTTAGTTTCAACAAAATCAGTAAAAACGCTATCATGTCACAGGATTGTCTAGTCCACTATTACTTGGTTCTCTGATCAAGACTCGATTGTTTACATATGGCAGGAGTACTGCTGTGTGCCATTAGGTAACAGACACGCACCTACTTTATTATCATGCAAATTGTGTTTCTACCACACACTTGTTTAACATCGCAATTAAATTCAACATTAAACACGAAATACCCCAAAACGTATACCCGAGTAGTTTTATATATTATTTTGTATAAGCTTTAATAGTGGATATGGGTTCAAACTCACGTTTTGAAAGTGTTTTCATTTCCTGATGACTAAGACACACTATGTATTCAGAGTGCTGTTACTGTGACATGTACATGGCAACAAAGAGTAACACTAGTAGAAGGCGGCAGATGAAGAAATAAAGGTGATTGACTGAATTACATTTGACAAAAATCCCTAATCCTTACTCCAAGTTATAAAAAAGATATAAACTCTCACTATCAACCCAAAATCTGGTGCATCTTCTGGCGTTATATAAGCTTTCTCTTTGAATCATAAAGGCATCAAGTTAAAGAAACGTCCTCAAAAGCTTACTGGCGAAGGAAGTACGTCGCCGTTCCCTTGTGTTCATATGTTTATTGTTGATTTTTTCCCCATGACCAACACATGCCTGTAGGACATCGAGAGGTTATTTACGGTTGCTGGTCAGTCAAAAGCCCCTTTTTTCATTGGTTCACATGACCCATTGTGTGTCATCGAACTCGAACTATGGTATGGATTGTTGCTGATGCTATCATCAGGGTTTTCGTCTTGCAAAATGCGAAGAAAGGCCCAACACAATCATGAAAAATATCAATACATATCATTTGATGATCATCGTTTATTTATCAATTGAACTCATTACAATACGACTGAATATCCATGAGAATGTCCGTCCGGTTCAGCTGAAACAACAGAAACACAATGAATGTATAATCCTGGAATGTTTAACTGAATGTTTCTTTCTTAAATAACATGTTCATTATACCCATAAACGTATGTTTTCTTAAATCTCTATTTACTTCCTAATATTCGAATACATGACACTTTTTTATGGATAGCAACTTCTTTATGCGACGTTTCAGAGGTACTTCTCGCTCCTTTATCAGGTGAATGCTTAGTGAGTGTAAGAGTACTATATGTATATCATGATGTTTACACAGCACAAGGTGGGATGAATGTACAAAGATAACAACGTAATGACAAAGCCAATGACATAGACATTGGATGAATGAACACAGATAACATTCCTACAGTTAAACATAATCTTCAAAGAATATGTGAGTTTGTTTTTGTTTCAGTAAAGAGACCACTGGCCCATTATACAATAGTGATATATAAATGCAATAAATGTTACAAATAATGTTACAAGTGGAAGAACTTGGTGCGTTTTTTTCCAAGGAAACATATTTTGCTGAACAATTTACTGTTAATTGATCCTGAGACACAATCCTTCAAGAATGTTTTATAAGAAATGTTATATTTGGGGTAACACTTTCCTAGTAAAGTACAGATTCTCGTACACAAAGTACGTGATCTAGACTACCAGTTGTCGGGCTTAACATTTTGTGGAAACCTCGCTCGGTGACTGAGTGGGTGAGATCGCTGATTGTGTGCTGGGGACTAGGTGCCTCACTCTGGCAGTGTGGATTCGAATCCTGGATGGGACTTAAAAAAGTACGAGAATCTGTACTTTACTAAGAAAGTGTTATCCAAACTATAACCTTAGTTACATTTGACCACTTTCTAAATGGCCTTTCTGTGCTCATGTTTTATAAGGTTGTATATTTTACATTGTTTTAATATGACTTAACTATTTCATTTCAAATAAGAGTATTGCTAGGTGTGATTCAAATGGGTTTACAGAGTACATTGTGACAATTGTTAAATGATTACGTCGTATAATATGAATGAAACAAAATGGAAGATACGGTTGATGTCCCGACGTGCATTCTGACATAACGGTTCTTGGACATTGCATTCAGTGACCTACCAACTATCTTCAATCGTTTCTTCTACTCGAAGGCACATGCTCCTATGACGTTACCATCCGGGCATTTGTAAGAATCACAGGCGATAGAAGAAGAGTCAGCCTGAAATAAGAAACAGAAACATTCAAGTTAGAAATCATTACTCGACCAGTCGTTATTTGTAATAAAGCTCATTTACTGTTTCTGTTGGACCACTGCATTAAGTATTATTTCGTTTGTTGGGTGGCCTAGTGGTGAAAGCCTTCGCTCGTCACACCTGACACGCGGTTTAGAATGGCTAAGGCACCCTGAAAAAACGTGCAAATAATTACTCAAAGCCACAATTGCATGTTCATATTAACATATAATATTTTCTTTCAACAAACGTATCTCGCTCATCTAGTCAAGAATGTATATTTGCCATACCAGATGAGGCCATCAATACCCATTTGAAGTGATCTGTGTGAGTTTACTGAGGAACCAATATGTGAAATGCTGGACCTCCTCATTGATAACATCTATGTAAAATTTAGGGGTAAGACATTTATGCCAGAAGTAGGCATCCCCATGGGCATCAATTGTGCTCCCCTTTGTTGCTGTTTCTTTGTTTTTGAGTTGGCCAAGAAGTTTAACTTAAGCTTCAAGTATCTTGATAATCTGATAGAGTTCAATAACCATCAAATAGCCAATTCCCTTCCACTGGTTTACCCACCTGAACTAGAAACAAAGGAGACCATTGAGACCGCGTCATCTATTCATATTAGATCTATGTATAATGATTCAGAGTGAAAAAAACACTTTCCACATTACTGTATATGACAAGTGGGATGACTTCAACTTTCTAATAGTCGACTATCTCTTTATGTCCCTGCAGCTCCAGACCTTGGAGTCTACTTTTCACAACTTTTGAGGTACAATAGAACATGCCTCTCTACGTAGATTTCAAAGAGCGTCATACAACACTTGCTCAGAAGTTGGTGATCAAGGTTACAACATTCAAGGCTTCAATAAAGCTTTCAAAACGTTTTATGGTAAAACTGTGGGAATATTTCAACATTTGTCGCATCAGTGACAAGAATGATTCCGATGCAATTTCCTATTTTGTACCACATGCTCCCGTGTGTTTTCAGGCGAACAATTAATATGCCTTTGTATGTGTTTATGGCGGTCGCCACCGTTGGAGCTGAATACCCTGACCATTTCGCGAACACCGGGTATCATCACTATTTGATAGTGATTCATGAACACATGCTTATGATAAAGTCGGAATCGTACTATCGATTTCGTATGAACATGGAATTTTGTCCTTTTTGTTTACACCAGTTAAAACAACATTTCAGTTATATTGTAGCTTGCAGCTTGCAGTGTAGATGTATAACTAAAAGAAGCCAATTGGCCAAAGACTAACCACTTTGTCAACCCGTCAACAGCTTCAATCAACAAAATTATTTGAACCAAAATTATCTCAGGCCGAGAATAGAATCATTAAAAAATCACAGTAAACATGGATGGAAGCCGAATGAACTCAAGAAGAAGACATTACCTCTTTACTGACGTTTGAATCAATTCAAATCTGTGACGAATTCTAACGGACCTTTACAGCTAAGGGAAACAAGTTTGCAGGGGTAGTTGCGATTCTTAAATCAATGGGTAACCAATATCTGCTCAATAGAGAAACCGACATGTAATGATCAAATATATCACGCCCAAGACTATAATTCGAATGGAAGGAAGTGACAGCGGTAATAAATGGCGTTAGAGCGACAGGGATTTCATACAGCTGAGTTGCTACCACTTCACAGTTCTAAAGAATACTTACTGGTCCAGCTTGGGCACCCAGTTTGGATGCAAATGCGAGAGCATCATCAGCGGAATCCCCAGCATCGGCGTAGGCAATTCCACCGATGATGTCAGCAACCACACTAATGTCGCATGACTCGGCCATGCCTTCAGCATCACGGTACAGGTTACCGTTGCCCACCGACTGGGAAAAAAACGCTTTGCCAGAGTACAAAATATAATACAACAAGAGCATGCTAAAAGTAAGGCGTGTGTGAATCTGAACTTCCTGGATGGTTCTACTAACCTGGAGTAAACGTGATTTATTCCAACATGTTCAGGATATACAATCTCATGTGTATCACTTGGATTCTTTATATTTTAGAACAATCCTATATAACTCCCCTTTACTACTATGATTACAATAGTGAGTGAGTTAAAGCTTTACGTCACATCGGCAATATTTCAGCCATATCGTGACGATATGATTACAATAACCCCTGTTGGCGCCATAACATTTTGGTATGTGATATTGCATTTATTATATCGAATTAATGAACATTAATAATCAGACATGCAGATCGTGATAACGGGGCACTAAGGACACGGATAGACAAGTGGGAAGTACACACTCATAAAGATTCTGTTATGGAGACACAATTTCTATTATGCAGTGAAATTCACCGATATATAAGAATTATTTAAGTTCAATGCACATAATATTAAGAGCGATACTTCTTAATGAAGTGAATATGTTGAAGGTATGACAACGGGTAGTTTACAACTAATAGGGTGTATATTTTCAATATTTATGGAGGAAAGATTATTCGTTTTCTTCTAAAAAAGCGAACGGTTTTATATTTCCAGGAAGACTTACAAGTTTGGAGTTTCCAGCAGCTACTCTGGCCTTAATGACAGCCTGGGTGAGAGATCCTTTGCTTGCGGATACCATGGCAACAACAGCCAGGACGAAAACAACACATGTGATTCTCAGCATCTTGATTCTTACAGGGCTGGAAAAACAGAATGAGTGGCATATCATAGAATGGAAACTAATGGTATTTTCATGATTATAAGTTCGTTGTTATCTTCACAGCGTGTGTGCGATATCTAATGTTGGAAATTTACAAAGTCTGGATTGATTTTTTTCTAATGAGAAAAAAAACTAAAATTGAATTGTACGTTGGCGTTTCAGATAATGAACAATTACACCTGTAATAATGAACACTACATGACCGTTACTGTCGTCATCAATAGGTTTACGTGTAAAAGCCTGGTAATATCAACATACTGATGAAGACGTCAGTCCAATCGTTCTATTCCGTATTACTTAGATGAGATATATGGGACATTCACACAATGCAGGTGTGTTTCCAACGCCAGAGAATAATCAGTCTGGATTCCATTAGGCGTCAAAGGCACACTAGTGATGAACATTATTTGAATGAATCAGTGATGACACAATGAAAGCCATCAGATCAGTCTGCAACAAAACTTCGCTTCACTCGCAACGTCGGATTTCGCTCATATTCAGCAAATGTCTTGCCCTGCATCGCTTTGGACTTTGGGCTGACTCGCCGTGATTAAACTGAAATACTGCTCAAAGGGGCGTTACACCCAATTGCACACCCTACTTTGCACTAAATCCAGCATTTTTTAAAGACTACGGTAGTTTTATACTTTGAATTTTGCGTTTGAAGTAAAACAGCATGAAAAGAAACAAATCTAGCAAGGCCAATACTCACATGGAGATGTTGCTGACTTCTAGGATGTTGTGAGATCTTGTGATGCAGCAAGGATGACAGGGAGTCTTTTATACCCTTGTCGATTGACTATGATAATTTTCGAAAGCACATTTGCCATTACCCGTGTCAGTCATTACGTCGGATCACAATGCTTTGACACGCCACCAGGCAAAAAGGGCAATTAACATTCGCAGGAAGAAGAGCTTATGTCTGCTGACGTAATTATTTCAAACACGTAATCGAAAAAAGTATTATTATTATTAACATTGAATAAAGTGTTAATTTGCAAATGTCCAAAGGTCACGTTATGGATTTGAATCTCCAGTCGCAACATATGAGTTTCCATGTAAAATTCAAAATATTCAATGTCACAAACACATGCAAAGGCAAGTCAATTGTTCAAACTAGGGAATTGCACCGGACATCTTTTTTGTTACCAACCATCGTGTTATAAATCTTGGTTGCTGGGACATTTCTAGTGCAGGTGGATAAGTAGAAGGGAATTGGCTATTTGAACATTATTGAACGATATACATGAAGCTTTAGTTAAACGTCTTGGATAGATATTCCCATGTTTTGACTTTGACAATCTGAGCCGAAATTCCGATTCATAATGCATCATAAAATATCAGGAAGGATGGGAGTACAATTGGTGCCTAATCGGGGTTGTCTGTTTCTTGCCTAAATCTAACACATTACTGCATGTTTTTCAATGATGATAAAACGAAACTATAACATTTTTGCATTGTACATATAACACATAATCAGAAACAATAGCCTTTTGACGAAATCATATTCACCAAATGAAAACTTAACTTCTATTTGGACAAGATTCTGCCCACAAGACCACCAGCTTCGTCTGGTGAAGGAAAGCATTTTCTGATATCCAACGAGTTTGGGTGACTGGTGGCTGACAGATCTGTTTCCTGGCACAGTCAACAAAGCCAGTCGTATGTTTTAGTAATTCTAATCTCGTCAATAATCAATTGTAAAAATTAGATTAATTAAAATTGCAGAAAAATATGTTAAAGACGTACGCTACAATTGAGGTTTATATTTAGTAATAGATTGATGGTGAGTGATTGACATAGATGGAGGATGGAGATAGATGGACAGAGATCTTTACAAATAGGCAGTACAGCTTGGTCGGGACATGTGTGTCACTGGGAGTGTATGTCGATGGTGTTAACAGCTGGAACTGTGTGCCAAATTGTATTCCATCCTAAATCTAATACAATTGAAGACACTAGATTCACACACACACGCACGCACGCACGCACGCACGCACGCACGCACGCATGCACACGCACACACACACACACACACACACACACACACACACACACACACACACACACACACACACACACACACACACAGAGTAATGTGGGCCGCGCAGGTTGGAACCAGACCAATGACATGCAGATAGCAATCAGAAAAAAATGCTGTAATTGCGTGTCATCGATAACCTATTATAAATATTTATGAAAGTTATTCTTATGAAAGAGGATCAGCTGTCTCGTGTGTTATATTATATTCATTTCGATAGTGCATTAATTGCTCACAATGACATCAATCATAAAAAAGTGCCTCTACTTGAGAGAATGGCATACAATTTGGTACTTATTTCAAATACGTGCATACTATTAATAAACAAAATCTTAACCACATTAGTGAAACCAATAGTCGCTTGTGTATGTTAGCCCTAATCTCGTTTATTGTTTATGCCAATTTTTCAATCTTTTGAGCTGGAATAGTATACCATGAAAGTCTGTCGTTTTTAGAAAAGGGAATTCAAAATTCAACTTTTTGTATGTTAGCTCACCAGGACGGAGGATCAAAATGAGCTACATGTATAACACTGAGCAAGCGCAGTGTCCGTCGTCCGTCTCCTTGTCTACAAGACGAACATATTTGATGTCTTCTCCGAAACGTTTGTTCGGATGAACGTGAAAAATAGGTGACAATTTGAATTGCAATAGAATTAAATTCTGTTCCTAGTGTTCAAATCGTTTTTGATTATTATATTTTCGCGAACACATGGTGTCAACACCAATTGATAAAACAACAAAAATCATTTCCTTAATCCTTAGAAATCACTTGCCGGAATCGTCGAATAAGCAACGCATCTAAAAATACATCGTTTTATCTATGTAAAATGGGCATGTGATTATAAGGTATCTGAAAGAAATTAGTATGATTTCATTAGTATGAAATATTAGATGATTATTTTAGTTTGGTGCGATGCGCTAACATCATTGTCGAAGACTGCCCCTTTGATATAATTATATAAGAAGTGAAAAGTAAAACTTATTGTCAACCTGGGCGACATGGGGTACTATAATAATTAATGTAGTAATCGTCTACCGGTATTTTTACAACTTTCAATATCAATGAGTTGATATTGGCTCGTATTGAGAATAAACACAAGTGATGACGTCACACCCTTCTGGTATCGCGCAGGAAGACTAAGTGTTATAGATTCTTATGATGCCCTTATGATGAGGTGGCATAACTTTGGATGTTGCTGGCTTATAGCCTGTGTTGTATAACAAGTATTGTCACTGATAACTCTTTGGAATTGGTTTGCCTACGTCTAAATAATATAACAGAATGTGAAGTATTTACAGAATATTTCTAATCTGCTGATGCGTACAATGTAAACTTTATTATTTTACCTGTAAAAATTAAACAAATTGTTGACAGGCTTTATTCCTTTCTTGATTGTTTGTTGTTGAAAGCCGCACTCAGCAATATTCCAGCTATAAGACTGCTGTCTTTAAATAATAAAGTCTGGACCAGACAATCCAGTGATTTGCATCATGAGCATCGATCCACGCAATTGGGATACGATGACCAGCATCAGCCAAGTCAGCGAGTCTGACAACCCGATCCCGTTGGTCGCCTCTTACGGCAAGCATTGGTTGCTGAAGACTTATTCTACCCCGGATCTTCAAGGGGGAGAAACCACAAGGCTTGGAAAGCAAAGCCGAAGCGCTGGATTGAGATGTATCAAAATGATATTCATATCATATTTATTCATGGGAGGAAAATAAAAAGGACCTTGAGTCAAACCAAACTTTAAGGGGACAATCAGGTCCAAAATGTGCCTATGATGAAATAAAATTTCATTAATTAAAATTGTTAAGATTTATTTGAGTAAAATCCCGAGAGCGATGAAACAGTCTTGAAGAACTAAATCGAACTGAAATCATGATCACGATTTAAGAAGTGCCAAATGGTTCAGAGTCTACTTATAAAGACGGCACAGTGAAACTGAATATGACAATGACTATATGAACTAAAGCACTTACATGCAACGTTGGCCACTGATGACAACGCTGTTGAAACTTGAGATGTTTGCACATACATGCAAAAACAGGAGCAGCCCCTTCACTTCCATGCCATTAAAGCTCCCCAAACAGTTTCACGATATTTCCTTACAGTCTGAAAGATTAGAAGCGCACAACCTCGCGATCCAACAATTTTCAAAAGTCTCAGATTTTTCAAAGAAAAGTGCAACAATAACTGGCAATGAGATGAAGCATCCATTTTCAATAATAACCATAAAGGCGACCTTGATCTTTGACCTTTGACAGACATGTCTCGAACATTTCATGAGGTTGGATTTGTAGAGATTCATCTCTTCATACCTCAAACACTAACAATGATATAACCATGTCTTACAAAAACCCAAGTTCTTACCTTGACCTTTGACTTATTTTGACCAAAGCCTTCTAATAAGTTAACATAAATGCATTGATACCTTTTGAGATCGCAAACCTATTAGACTCGTCACCTTGACCTGTTCATGACACATGGCGTACAGTTACCTCCAAGGTGATCTTGACCTTTGACAAATGTGCCTTGGAATCTTCTAAGTACGAGCATGTTCGATAATTGTACCTCAAATGTTGCAAAATGTCGAAACCAAGGTTGAAACTGCTGGAATATTGCTGGAATATTGCTCGACCTCTCTCTGCTCAAACAGTCTTGTGAATGCTACATTGAGACTCTGAAACACACACACGCACGCACACACACGCACCCACGCACGCACACGCACGCACGCACACACACACACACACACACACACACACGCACACACACGCACGCGCGCACACACACACACACACACACACACACACACACACACACACACACACAGCTTATGTACTGCAGGAACTGGCACTAGCAAACATTGAAAGAGCGAGTTTAGTATTACACACACACACACACACACACACATACACACACACACACACACACACACACACACACACACACACACACACACACACACACACACACACACACACACACACACACACACACGGCGGCCGGTGGACAAACCAATCAAGATAATATATACTCACCGACAAAAGAAACGCGAATACCATATATGTTGGTTAATACATGAATAATTACTCATATTCAAGAGATATTTGATTGGTTGGAAGCACAAACGAACATGCTGGCATGTGGTGTGAACCGACACTCATGAACGCATCATTTTTGACGTCATAGATCCATGACTCGAGAAGCACCATTTGTCTCGTGCAGGATTAGCGTGTGAAGTTTGGATATCACATGCAGCATATCGTGATAAGAATATTTAAGACATTATGTGGTAACACTTGGCTGATTGTTAGTTTTATAATTAATTGGTACACATTGGAAACATCTCATCTTAACGTACATCTTCTCTATATGTTTCTATGGTTCACGTTTCTTTTTGGGGTGAGTACATGCCTTGTGTATCCTCTTACGGGCGCATCGTTCCTTTAGAAGTGGGTTGTTTGACATTACAAATTATATGGAAGCGTAGTATATGGCAATAAATAGGACAAAGTCCATGCCATCCAGTGTATTTCTGTTTAGATTTTGGAGTGAAAGATGTCGGCGTTTTGAAGTTGTGATATTGCAATGGTTTAGATATACGCCAAAATTAATACTTGTGAAGTAAACACAAGTGAGTTACCACGCCTTTTGTAATATTCAATCAGTATCACTGCGGCGTGTACAAAAAAAGGCTTTCGTAAATTGTATTTATATTTGGAATCGATTTTTTTCGATGACACATTAGAATGTTAATTACAATAGTG